CACCGTTTCAATTATACGTTTGGAAATGCAACTAGAGTTATGATTAGTTTAAAAGATAGTGTAACATTTTTGTCTGTGAGTTCAAAGGCAAACAAAACATTTTTAATAGATCTGTATCACACCCCACTGAGCCATTTCTTCACAAAAGACGGAAAAGTTCAATCATATGAGAAAGCCAATCTGACAACTTGATCAATGATGCCGAGAGACAAAAGTTTGAGCGATTTAAAGGGAACGAAAAAAGATTGATGAGGATAAGATGTATGTAAACATGATGGATTGAAAAAGCCCTGGTGTGGAATATTGTCTCGAATGGAGGAACTGGTCAGATTTGGTTTCCATGGCAATGCCAAAGGGGTCAGAGTTAGTGTCCACAGACATAGGTCACTAACCAAAATACCTCAAATTCCAGCAAACTGGTCTCTGATAGGTTGAGTTTGCCTGGGGGCGGGGTCAGAGTGAGAATGAATGGGGGATCAAACAGGCTTATTGAGTGCTGAGAGATGAACCGAGAGAGTGGACAGAGATGGATGGATGGAAGAAAACATGAAAGAGCAGGACTGGTCCGAGTCGGGGCGAGGACAAGCACAAGAGCTGCCCAATGAAGTGTATCAAAGGAGTCTTTCTTCACATTCTTAATCTCTCTTACACCTGCACAGTACAAAGCAGGGTGTTTTTTGCTAAAATATAGACGAAATCTTTCCAAACTAGTTTCTTTTTTTTGTTCATCCATCGCCCTGTTTCTATCTCCTGCCAGCCTTTGTTGCATTTCCACCCGAACCACTCCACTGTAACGCTCCAACTGTGTTTCTGAACAATAAAAGAGCTCGCCATGGGCCCCTCATCTTACTCTCTCTTTCTGCTTGCATTAAACTGAATGAGGCCCCTGGCCCCTCAGCAACCTAGTCCGGGTAATCCCGGAGCACAGAGCACCCGATGATCCTGCCACACCGCATTCCGAACCAGTCACCCGGAACAACAGCGCTTGCATTAGCACTGAATTAAAACGACAGAGGTTTTAGAGGCTAATGATAGTCAGCGAATGGAGGTGTGTGGGCAAAAAGTGATGGATGGATATTTGAACAGATCCCGGGTCAGAATTTCATTAATTACTGTTTAGACTGTAGTATCAGGTGGTGAAAGCTACAAAAGATCACAGATCGAATGACAGGGTTGTCGGCGGGCCCATTGTCAGAGTGTGTGTGTGTGGGTGGGTGTTTAAATACCCTTCTCTTTTAAACAGGTGAATGTGGAAAGAATGTTAACTTGTGCATTTTCTAGACTATTACCCAACTTCCCTCAATCTCTGTGTGTGTGTGTGAGTCTGCACTGCTGACTCCGAGTATTTCCTCAACCTCTCGCCCCCCTACTGATCATCCCCCCTTTCCCTGAGCTCCAGCATTCCAGTGAGTGATAGAGTGTTGAAATGAGAGAGCGAGAGGGAGGAGAGACCGACTGATAGACAGACTTAGAGGGGGTTAAAAAGAATAACAACGACTAAACTTTGAACTAAAGATTAAAAGATCTGAGATTAACCCTACAGTTGCCCATTTGGCACTGATGCGGGTCTATCAACTGTGCACATTTCACTGATATTTACCGGAAAGTGAGTCTAGGATAGAAAACTTCAGCTATTCAGGTTTGACGGTAAGTGTGGACGTGACTCACAAGTACCCGCATTCGTCTGCCAGGTCTCAGCGTTCATTAATCAAGCACATTCATTCTGTTTTTCGGTCTGAAGAAGTAGATGAGGGTGAGCGTAGATCGATTTACTAGTAGTTGTTTGGATTTTAAGTGTTTGTTCCTTGTATGGATGTATGTATATAATTTGTATTGTTAATACTTAATGTAAACTAATGCTAAGGGAATTATTGTGCATAGATTTGGCAACATTATTATTTACAATATTAAAACTTGGACAAAAAAAAAACATTAAAAAAACATTTAATATTGCAGATGTCTCAATGTTTTGTCTTTTTAAACCCCAGAAACAAAACCATAAAACAGAACCCAAGGCACGTAGAATATTGGTTAAGATACAGATACTCAAGATGAAGTTTAGCTTAGTATGTGAAATGAATGGCGCTTAATAAGCGAATAGCATTACTGTATGAATAAAGGCATTGATAAAGTAACTGTAGCGCTTGAAAGGACACTGGCATGAGGAGTACCCGCTGACCCCTGCATTGAGACGGAGTCCATCCCCCACTGCTTTCTCCCATCCATCCCACTGACTCCCAGCCCCCAGGGGCTGAGGGGGGGAGTAGCATAATTGCCCCCCTCTGGGACCACTTTAATTCCAGTCTTTGTGTTTTAATTGCCCCCCCTCCCGACCCCCTTTTGATGAACACATTGGGGCCATACCACAAACAGATTTTAATCAGGGTTTTAACGGGGTGTGTGTGTGTGCTGGTGTGCCAGATGACTGCTCACGAGCATCTGGTGACAGCAGTTCAAGAATGTGAGACATGTAAATTATTATTGGTGGGGAGGTAAATCTGCTTCATTCATCAAACAAAGATGCATCAGTGTGTGACTGCCGTACCCGGCCACCAGAGAATTGAAGTGTGTGACTAGGAGTGCTAAGTTTGGCTTTGCGGAGCTGTGTGTGTTTGGGTCCGCCGTGAGTGAAAGCAGCAGGCCAATTAAAAGGTTTGTGTGTGTAAGACTAGAAGAGGTCTGGAGCCAGATCGTCTGTCCTAAGACCCAGGGTCCCCCCCCCCATCAACAAACAAAAAAAAGAGAGAGCAGGAGAGACTCTGCAGACTTTGATCATAGCGCAGACGTGTGGATGTTGTCACACGCCGACAGAAACACCCACTCCTGAGTATAAAATAATGCTACTGCTATTTCCGCCAGACAGGGAGGATTTCTGAAACTCTCCAGAAATTAGGAGGATCCCAGTTAGTGTCTGCTTGAACCCTCAGGAGGTTTACGATCCAGGATTTCAGCATCAACCGAATATTTATTATTATGATAGCAAAATCTGTAATTCTTGTAAAGAGTATGTAAGCAGTGATTGGCTATGCAAGATCAGGGTGTTTCTATGTGGTTGCAATAGGGGCTCTAATGGTTTTTTACTTAGTAGCTCAACTAAAAAGTCCACCAGTCTTTGACATTTTAGCTCATAGATTAAGTATGGCTGCATTCTAAAAACGTACCGCTGTATACATTTCTGGAGATCGCAAATTATGTAGCCAAAAGTACATATGGCTGCATTTTGTCTTTAAAACGAAGGTTACAGGGCGGTATGATGCCATTCCTTTTCGCGCTTACTAGTCGATCGCTTACATTCGTGTGGACGGCTTTCCCGCTTATACCAGATTTTCCAGTAGCTCGCCATGTACGTCGAACTTGAGACACAGAAAGGAGTTGACCATGATGACAGGGTTGGAGTCTTGTGAGGAACGGTTCCAGTAAGTGGGGACAAAAACGCAATCCAAAAAATAAAATGAGTAAATAACAGGGTGAAAGTGTGGTAAAATTTGCAAACGTGGTAAAAATCATTCAAGGGCTTTTCTTTTTTCAGTTTTTTAAAACTGTTGGTTGGGTTTAGGAAAGTGGGTGAGCGACTCAATCTGCGCTTTTGAAAATACTATTGGTTTGTGTTTAGGGAAAGAGGTGGGTCAGTTGATCGGTCAGTCAGTCAGTCATTCGCCTCTGGCGGATTCGCAAAAACAAAAACTGCAAAAAAACGTACATCCTGAGAGGTATTTGGCGGTCTCCAGAAATGTATATAGAGGTACGTTTTCAGAATGAGCCTAGGTTGGATACATCCAACGATGCCATCTAGTCTAATGATTAATCAATCTTGTTAAGTAGTCTATCACAGCATAAAACAATAACAATTCCTCTCACAACTTTCGTTTCATTCAAATTCTAAGGCCTACCAAGCATGTTCAAGCATCACAGATAATATTACACTTTTAATAGACTGCAAAAAATTTAGACTACACTTTTGAAAGTGCTAGAAGTCAACCTAATTACCATTCAAAAATTCGTACCTTGGGAGCCTACATCAGATTTCCAGATTTGGCTGATATCGAACTCATAATGCGAATGTGTGAACCTGAGCTCAGAAGCAAGCATATGGAAGTTAAAGTGGCATCCGATGATGGATGGATGAATAAATAAACCAGGGCATTCTTTCTACCTCTGGCGTTCTTCTATCAGTGGGCTGCACATAAACAGAGATAGCAAACTGCCAGAGGAGCTAGAGGAGCAGAACCAAGAATGAAGCAAATGCAGAAAGCGGAGAGGAGCAGACAGGCAGACTGTCTCCGTCGCCTCCCTCCATGTGTCAAATGAAAGGGAGAAGTGTGGCGTAGACAGGGTGTGTAGGACTTCGTCAACCCGAGTGCGTGTGTTTATCTGTAATGAATGAGTAAAGGGAGTGTTGACGAAATGCAGATTTATTTCTCTATTTGCGTTTGTGTGTGTTTCAGCAGATAGTCAATAGTCATCGCTTGCTGATGCAACTTGACAGATTACTAATGCCTTTGCACAAATAAGACTGTCCTCATGAGACGAGGAAGATCAATATGGCGCGCACATTTACGCCAAGACGAACATGTTCCTGCCATTTCCGCCAGCTCTGACCTATTCTCTGAGAATGGACAGCATGCGGTACAATCAATGGACTGATGTTTAGAATAATCTATATTCATGCATCTGTCTGCGAAGAAATCAACATACTCATTTGTCTTTCCATTGTTCACATTTTTTTGTCTTGTCTTCCTTGCCGCCATCCCTTTGTGATTTGCCGTCTGGTCGTCTTCGAGATGCTATTGTAGATCAATGCGAGGGCAATTGAAAATGTGATTGCATCAGGTTTGGCATTCAAGTCAGTCGCTCCGTGAAAGTTCTCTAAAGGAAGAATTCTTCTCACCTCTGCGAGTGACATTGCTGGAGTTATTCTCGTTTCTTTGCTTTCTGGTTTGTTTTGTTGATCTCCAATGTTAGATGAGCTCGGCTAACGTGTGTTGTTTACATTTTTTCAGGTTCCGATGGGATGACTATGCGGTTGAGGTACGCCTGAATGACTACCTGGACATCGTCTGCCCTCACTATCCACTGGGCGAAGTGCCATCCCAGGACGCAGAGCGATATGTGCTCTACATGGTGGAACGTGAAGACTACGACACCTGTCGTCCGCAATCCTACGACCAAATGCGTTGGGAATGTGGCCACCCTTTCGCTCCTCATGCTCCCGAAAAGTTTTCCGAGAAGTTCCAGCGCTTCACACCATTCACCCTGGGAAAGGAGTTTCGACAGGGCGAGAGCTACTACTACATCTGTGAGTTGCACTTAAGCTTTGAATGCAACATTTATGGCGGATCGTTTTGTAGGGGTAGAGATGCTTTTGAACTTTCAGAAAACCAGTTATAGATTTATTGTCCCACAAACCATATGCTGAATGCTAAGTCTGTGAGTCATATCTGAGCCCTCCTTTCGCACCACAGTAATGAATACATTTCAATTCCTGCTATGCGCTGCTAAACTGGCAGCAAAACCGCTACGTGTCTTTTTGGCAACCCCGCAGGTTATCCTTGGGGAGTTTGGGCAGTAGGAAACACAAGAAGTCCAATTCAGCGAGCATGCGGACTGGAATATGAAGGTCTAGATTTAACAATGGTGAAATGCGAAGACCCAATTTAGACCGTTCCCATAAAGCATGTGCATTGTTAAAATATTGTGGAGTTAAATGAGGATTTTTTTCCATTGATAAAAATGCAGATGATTCATGTTGAGAGAAATACAGACAGTTTTCTCAATGGATTTGTATTTCTGACACAGTGTAAGCTCTTGCACATAGGAAGAATCAGAGTATAATTCCGCCACTGTAATAAAAGAGATCAGACACGGGTCACAGGTCCAGATGGCCGCTAAGGAGAATTGGCTTAGCCACTACACGTCTAACACTATTAGCCTCCTTTGTAATTAACCTGTCTGCTACCCATTAACTTATTTACCTTCCTACATTATCCTTTTATGTTCCTCTGTCCTGACGGGCCTTCTTTTTTTGCCCTACAGCCAAACCACTGCACCACCACGGACAGGAATGCCTGAGACTCAGAGTGGACGTCATTGCCAATGACGGTGAGTAGATGACCTGACAGATCTTAAAAATGCACATACTTTGCATTTCAAGTTAACTCACTGCTATTTTTATGACTTTCAGGTTCTCAAGAAGCAAGGGTTGGGCAAGGAACTAAAGTGGGAACTGGGGGAGGAGCTCACACACCGTCTAATCGGTTACCAGCAGGTACGGTTACACTAAGTTCATTCCATTAAATAACCTAGCCAATTATCCCCTTATTAAATGGGATAATTCTGAGGGAAAAATCTGAAAATACTGTTTCTATTTACTCACCATTTACTTGTTTCAAAGCAGGGGTCTGCTTTTTGTACGTGGATTAGTCATTTAGCAGGATTATGTTACTGCGTGATGATTCAGGATGGGTCCGTTTTTCAAAACTCATCTGTTCTAGCAATAGGTCTGGTAGCTCACATCTGTTTGGGAGCAGGCTTATTTCATTTAAACAGGATTAGATTTGGACATTTCAAGCAAAAGTATTACTGAAAGTATCAACTAAATGTTGATATTCTCTTAGAGTTAAAATAAAATATATATATATATATACAAATAAAACTTATTTATTCTTCTCCTCGAAATAAAAGTTGAGGGTGGTCCTTCCCAAGGGGTTTAAAGAGAACATTTATGGACTTCTTTTTTAGATACAAACGTTTAAGGTACTGACCCAGCTTCAGTACAATTTCTGAGTGTTAATAGACATGGCCAATACTCTAATGTTTTTAAAGGAATAATAATTTATGTGAGTTGTGCGCACATTTGACAGCTAATATGCCAGTGATATGATGCTTCGCATAAGTTACAGACACCTTTACTATATTTTTTTTGATGCAGAATTAACCTAAACAGCCAGTTTTGCCTCATGCCACACGATAAAGAAACTTAAATAGGCCTAACATAATATGGAAAATCCACTCTAAAAGTAAAACTTAATACATTTCTGAATGTCATAACGCTTCTGTGCTATCAGACAATCGTAGTATTGCTGATTGTTTGAGCTTGTTTAAAGAACCAAATTAGCCAGAGATCAATTATCAAGATTAAACGATCAAGGATCTGCCAAATCATCTTTCATATAGATATTTAAGCGAGGTATGAAGAACGGACCCCTGTTTGGCTTTGACTGTTTGACACAAAATAAAATATTTTCAAGAAAGCTGGTAGCCTGGAACCATTAACTGCCATCAAATTAGTTTTTCTAGCATGGAAGTCAATCGCTATGTTTCCATCCACAAATGTTTTATGCGATAGTCCAGTTTTGCAAATAAATTTAATTTGCCTCTTTGGATGGAAGCATATGTAACCCTACCAGTCCTACACCACCCAACCTGTTCCAAGCTGGGATCGAACCAGTGACTGTGGGCATGAGAGTCAGTTGCTCTAACAAGGAGGCTAAAGACCATTGCCTCTAGCGTCAGACGCTAGAGCACCTTTTAGAGTTCAGAGAAGTGAGGTTTACCTGCACAGCACTTCACTAGCTGGCCTCCGCTACACTCAACCCCCTCAACCTTACTCCCATCTGGATCACGCCACCAACGTAACCCCACCAGTCCTACCCCACCCAACCCGCTTCGAGCTTGGATTGAACTGGCAACTGTCCGCATAGAAGTCGGTTGCTCTACAAGCAGGCTAAAGTCCATGGCCTCTAGCGTCAGTCGCTAGAGCACCTTTTAGAGTTAAGAGAAGTGTGTTTACCTGCACAGCACTTCACTAGCTGGCCTCCGCTACACTCAACCCCCTAAACCTTACTCCCATCTGGGTCACGGCACCAACGTAACCCCACCAGTCCTACCCCACCCAACCCGCTTCGAGCTTGGATTGAACTAGCGACTGTCCGCATAGAAGTCAGTTGCTCTAACAAGCAGGCTAAAGTCCATGGCCTCTAGCGTCAGTCGCTAGAGTACCTTTCAGAGGTCAGAGGAGTAAGGTTTACCCACACAGCTCTTCACTAGCTGGCCTCCGCTACACTCAACCCTCCAAATCTCACTCCCATCTAGGTCACAGCACCAATGTAGCCCCATTAGTCCTACACCACCCAACCCTTTCCGAGCTGGGATTAAACCAACAACTTTCCTCATGGAAGTTGGTTGCTCCAACAAGGAGGCCAAAGAGACCATGGCATCTAGTGCCTGTCACTAGAGCACCTTTTAGAGGTCAGAGGAGTGAGGTTTACCTGCACAGCACTTCACTAGCTGGCCTCTGCTATACATCCCTGCTGAAAAATCCAGCTTAAACCAGTCTAGACTGGTTGGCTGGTTTTAGCTGGTCAACCAGCCTGGTTTTAGAGGGGTTTTGGCCACTTGCAGGCTGGTTTACAGCCATTTCCAGCCTGGTCTTAGCTGGTCAGGTTGGGAGATAACCAGCTTGACCAGCCTAGCCAAGCTGGGAGTCCAACCAAAACCAGCTATATCCAGCTTAAACCAGGCTGGTCAAGCTGGTATTTGCTGGATTTGGCTGGTCATTTTCCAGCCTGACCAGCTAAAACCAGGCTGGAAATGGCTGGAAACCAGCCTGGAAATGGCCAAAACCCCTCTAAAACCAGGCTGGTCGACCAGATAAAACCAGCCAACAAGCCTAGGCTGGTTTAAGCTGGATTTTTCAGCAGGGATAGCTAATGGTCTTAGGTTTTCAGCTTTCTTCAAAATTTCTTTTGCAGTGTTTAACGAAATAAAGAAATGCATAAGGCTTGGAACCACTTGAGGTTGAGTAAACGGTGATTAAATGTTCATTTTTGGGTTAATTTTCCCTTTAAGTACAGACAATGGGATTACTTGCAGGCCAAGCACTTAGACATAAGCACCTGCATTTCTGGAATTATCTTCGTGCATCTGCAACATCTAAATCTTTCATATCTGTTATTTCTCCGCTACAGATGATCCTGTTGTGGCTCTTCCCGAAGTGCAGAAAAGCACGCGGACGAACTCTGCCATTTCATTAGCATCCTGGACTGTTCTTACAACATTACTCCCTCTTTTATTATTGCTGCTCTTACAGTAGGATTGGAACGTTGGACTTATAAGACTGTAATGACATTGGCCTGTGTCGAAGCGCACAGTGGTAGCTCTTTACCTCCCAGTGCTGGTCATCGGGAGAAGCGAACAAGAAGTTGAATCTCACACCGCCGGCAACGGTGCTGAATCGAAAAACTGGAATGAAGAAAGCTTTGAACTTTCGGACACTTCTAATGAAACAAAAACGAGACGTCAGTATTTTTCTGGAAATTTTGTCCACGTAAAAGGGAGTTTTTTTCTCCCTTTTACATGTTTTTTTATATATAAGCATCCGACTACTCAAAACCTGGATAAGAAAGAACTCAAACTAGCAGTAATGGGGAATTTAGGTTAGCATGTACATCAAATTTGGACGACCCCTCAAAATGAAGGGACGCGAGCCAAGAATGAGCCAAAGAGCTTCTCACAGAGGAGTCCAACAATCCAATTTAAAAATTTTTTTCTCATGTTTCCTCGAAATAACTGAGTTTCGTATTAATTTATGTAGCATCCAATCAATGGATCTTATTCTCACTTTCTCCTGGTTTTACACGACTGTGTGCTGTACCTCGATTTACCCTGGAAATACAGCACAGAACACACACCAACCCAATTTCCACTGAAATGGTGCTGATTTGGCATCATGTTGGAGGAAAACAAGGGTCATCCAATACTGTTTACCAAACCCACTGACACACTTCCTTTCAGAAATGCTGTGTTGTTTTTGTACATTCGTTGTTTAAAGAGTTAGTAAGTTATTAGAATTGCTGCAGAACAAAATACTGTATATAGTGAGCAACAATGTTTACCGTGTGTGTGCATGTGAGAGAGAGAGAGAGAGAGAGAGTCTGTAGATGAAAGATAAGAGGAAAAGCTTAAGAGTGTGTGTGTTAGCAGAGGATCTGTCATGGTCTGACCTGGGATCAGCATTTAAACTGCCAAGCACAATCATTGAGAAGCACACAATCACAATACAAAACAGGACAACTGGAAGCCAACATGAGGGATTTTTTGCAAAACAGGCTCATTGTGAAAACGTACCCCGTATACATTTCTGGAGAGCGTGAATTATGTAGCCAGAGCTACGTATGGCTGCATTTCGTCTTTAAAACGAACGCTACAGGGTGGTATGATGCCGCTGATGGCTTCTGTTTCTTTCCGCACTGCCAGCTTACCACTTACCTCCTTGTGAACAACTTTACCACTGTTACCAGTTTATCTGGTGGCTTGCCGTGTACGTCGGCAGACTTGAGATGCAGAGAAGAGTTGACTGTAATGACAGGGTTTGAGTCCGATGAAGAACAATTCCAGACAGCAGATAAAACTAGAACAAAAGGCGGAAAATAAAATAAACAAATAAAAAAAATGGAGTGAGAATGTGGAAAGATATGAAAACATCATAAAAGTCAGGCTTTTCTTTTTCTGGGTTGCTTTTGAAAACACTATCGGTTGGGTTTAGGAAAGGGGGTGATTGGGTCAATCGGTGCTTTTGAAAATGCTATCGGTTGGGCTTAGGGAAAGCGGTTGGATGGGGTAATCGGTCGGTTGGTCAGTCAGTCAGTAGACAGCGGCCTCTGGTAGATTTACATGAGAACAGCAGGCTTGAATGGAACTCGCAAGAGAAATTTGAGATCTTAAAAGCATACACAGTGGCCTCTAGTGGATTCGCAAAAACAAAAACTGCTAAAAAAAAAGTACCTCGTAGAACGTATTTCGCAATCTCCAGAAATGTATATAGGGGTACGTATCAATAATGAGCCTGGGTTGGATTTATATATATGTTTCCATTTACCTAATATGTTCTCCGGGCAGAAGGAAAAAGTCAATTGAACACGTTTGACTATTTACTTTATTCTCTTAGAGCAGAGAAAACTTCTATAAGGTAAATCAAGAAAAAAATCTGCTTATTTGTATTGGTAACTGAGGAAATTATTTGAGTTTTTGTTATTAATTATGACTGGAATATATTTCTAAAATGAATATAGATTTAATCTCAAGTATCTTAACTGCCTTTTGCGTTAGTTGCATTTTAAAAGCAGACCACATAAAACAAGCAACTGAAATATTTGAGACCGAGTTAACATTTTTATTTGACCAAAAATTTAATGGAAATTACAAAATCCAGTCATTAGCAGAATCTCAATATAGTATACCAGACTACTCTTACAAGAAAATGTAAGTATTTTACGTTTTGTAATTTACATATTTTATGTTTTTAAATCGTAGAAAGATGTACGATTTAAAAAAGGAGGCGTGGCCTGCCCTTAAACCCAGTCATCATTGGGTGATGAGTAGTTTTTATTAAATTGTATGAATGAGATCATAAAAAATTCATCCAAATTAACCGCTAAATCAAAGAGTTACGAATTGCCATGAGATAGCGTTGGATATACAATATATATTCTCAAAAGCCCTAAATGCTGATTGTTTCAGTTTGTCACTACAATATAAGTAGCTATTTTGTTGTTAATCTACAAATACTATATATTACCAGTATCGGCTTTTATAGGGAAACTGGATTAGGTTTACACTTTGAGAAAGACACACATATTTATAACGCTAATCAGCTAAAGCACTATGAACAAAACTCCACAAACACTGATTCTGACATGATGTAGCTGTTTAAGCTCAACTCCGGACAGTTGTTCGTATGCACGTCTAGATTTTGCCAAGTTGGATGCGATCCTGGATTAATATCTATATTGATCATAGAACATCATTTTTGTTTGAAAATGTAACCCATAACTTTTCCCTAGCGCTGAACCCAACTCTAACCATACATTATTCCCAAAATCAGAGGGGAATAATAGTTAGATAACAAATATGTAGAAGTGCATAACTCTAACCGTAAGTCTAAACTTAACATTAACTGTATAAGTATCCCTTAATTCTGATTGGCTGATTGGAGGTTGTTCCAGGACCGATATAGATGTTAATCCAGGAACATGTCTACTTGGTGAAATCAGGTTGGCGTGTTTGCATGACTGACGCAGCTCTTTACGACTAACGTTAGTTCACTCCGACTCAGATTTTTTTTCCATTTTGTTTTTCTTTTTTGTTCTTATATTCTTATTTTGTACATGTATTGTGTAAATTGTATATTATGTATATAAAGAGTATTATATAAAAAGAGACCTTTGATAATAAAAAGTAAATAAAAAAAACAAACAGTTAATGTGAAGATTCTTATGTGAAAATAAAAAATATTTTTGGAAATGCTATTGTTGCCTACATTGTGTTTTGTTTTTGTGTTTTGAAAATATGTGTGAAGCCATTTCCTTTCCTCATAATTTTAGAACATGCACTTGTAAAATTATATTTATATTTCTTAATCATTTGGACTACTACTAACAATGTTTTTTACTTTAAACTGTATGGTTTACATCTTTATATAAAGCAAATATTTTCAACATTTTACAAAAAAAGAAAAATTCCAAAACGTGAGTCATATTTAAAGTCTCTTTAAGGCAAGTCATTTCACTCGGCAGCCATCTTTTAAATGCCTCTTGGGCAGTATCAAAGAGCACAGAATCACCAAGAGGCAACACTCCAGTGTGATTTGGGAAACAGCCACTAGATGGAGCGGCGGCCATTTTGGAATGAATATTCTAATAGAGCAACAGCATATTATAAGTCTTCAAAATAAACTATTAAAAGTGCAGATGATTGAAATAGTGTGTTGTATTGTCGTCTTTTAGGTTGTATCTCAGCTTTAATGAGCTTTTTAAATAAATAAATAAAAAACAAAGCAGCTGCTTGCAATCGCAAGAGCAAAAAGATCCAATTGACGGAATGCTTTCAGTCCAAAATGGGGGAATGGCGGGGCTGTTGCTGGGCACTGCTGTTGCAATGGAACGTTCTATTGAGTGTCGCCTCTTGGTCAATCTGAGCTCTTTGGCAGTATGCTCAGGCGTTCTGTTTGAAAAAGGAAACATCAAATTCTCTAAAACTGCTTGCCAAGCTTACGAATATTAGGACTCACCAATAATGTTAAACAATAACTCTCTTTAGTTTCATTTCTTAACTTTAGAATTACACAAAATCTGCAGAAACTCCCCGGAGAATCGTCAGTCTGTTGCGATCAATGATTGGCTCCTGTACTGGAAGGCGGGGCTTTATTCGCCATATTGACCGTCACACTTTTCTCCATTCAAAACTATACGAGTGACATGTCTTGTGTAGTCTGTAGTCATTTATATGTTTTGATCAAGTTGTTGAAGTGGCTAACTGTTGTATTGGTAACTTAGCAACCAACAGTAAATAAGACATTCATTTCCTTATCCCACTGTTCACATCATCCTTTTGAAAGTTTAAAACTATTTTAAGAGAGTGTTTGTCACCTTAAGAAAAAGCTTGCAAATTAAGGATAATTTTCTTTTATTTTTTCGAATTTTGGCATTTTCATTGTTAATTCGTCATGCAATACTTCAAAATGTGCATTAATGCAGGGTGATGCACACATTAAAAAATACTATATTACTATATTAATTTATGGTAAATACTATAGTCTGTAGTGAGTTTAAACTAGTGTCAAAGTACTTGAATTAATCTATTGTAGAAAGTCTATGGTAACTATCGAAACACAACAACTATAGTACACTCAGAAATAAAGTGAGCTGTTACTGGGGTAGTACCTTTTTTAAAAGGTACAAATTTGTACCAAAAAGGTCCATATCAATACCTCAAAGGGTACATATTAGTACTTAAAAAGTACAAAAGTGTTCCTCTTAAATTTTTAGGTATTAATTTATACTTTTGAGTCACCAATATGGATCCTGTAAGCACAAATGTGTACCTTTTGAAAAGGTACCACCCCAGTGACAGCTCGCGTGCCTATATTTCTGAGAGTGTAGGCTAATATAAACATCAAACAGAAAAACTATTGACCTTATTCTAAAATGCGGAAGTGCGTCTGTTTTCGCGATTGTCTTAGAACTTCCGTTTCAGTCGCCTATGGGAGAAATGACAAGGAAAAACGGCAAAAAAACGTTCAAACTACTTGCTCTACAAACAAATGTTTGCATGACTATACAGACCAAGTAGAATAATACAACAAGGAAATATCAGTTTGCAACATCAAACAGCGAAACGAGCAGTTTTTAATGTCTAAAAATGAATGGAAGTGAATGAGACCGGAAGTCTCGTGCCAAAAAGATTCAAATGGCAGCGCCCGCTCGTCTGCGGAGAATAAGGTCAATAGAGTATATTATATTACAATACACCACAGTTTATCATAGTTAATACTACAGTAGGCTGTAGAATTCATTGACAAGGATTTGTAAACACTATAATACATAAAGTATAATACACTTTACTGTATTATGGTGTAAAAAAATCCAGTATTTACAATAAATTACTATGGTGTTTTTATGTGCGTGGAAACACAGCTAGTGTGATTTTACTTGGGTTTTTTCCTATTTGGAGTAATCCTACAAGAGAAAAAAGAGCAGTTTTAAGCATATTCTTCTTATAAAAGAATAGATGTTCATAAGCTCAATATTGAGAATGCAAATGAGATAGTTGAAAAGCAGCACAGATCAAAATGACACAGCACTTTCAGATCCTCCCGATTACTGGGTGTTCATTAGCACCTGCTGGTCATTTCTCTAATTACCTGACCAATCATATATAACTAGCCACCTGACTTTTTTCATGTTTTCACTGACTTTTTCCAAGATGGTTAACCATTCTAAAGTGATTGAAAATCAATGACAACACAAGACACTTTCAGCCATGAAAGAGAAGCTGATTGTAACAAATCTGAGATTCTAACTCATTCAAGTTCTCGAGAAAGGCTGATAACCAAGGAAATACAGATTCACAAGACGACAGGACAATGTGGAGAAGGTTAGTCAGTTCAAAAATGCAGCTTTTAAGGATCTGATTTGGCACAGTGTTTTACGGTAAGAAAATTTGAAGTGAAAGCTTACTGTGAAGTGACAACACAATCGGAAGTGACCAAATAGCAGAAAAATTAAACAAAAAAGGGGAGTCTAACCCAGTGGAAGGGAACCTATGGCTCTCAAGCCACATGTTGCTCTTTGACCAAAAATATGCATCTCCACCTGTCTTCCTTCAATATTATTTTACTGTTTAAAAAAACTTTAACAACACTAAAAATCTGTTGCCTATTAAAAATACAATTACAATCCCATTTTAAAAAGTAATTTTATATAGCACAATGAATAAGACCTAAAAGGACGTTAAAGTTAAAAGGACATTTTGACCAAAGTGCATTTGGATGAATTTGAATTGCAACACCAATAAATGGCAAATAACATGCATTTCTATGGTAACTTAAATTCAAACAACATTGAGTAGTGATGGTGAAAATAAAAACACTATGAATTGTTCTTCATTCATGGACTTGCTCAACATGTGATGCTTCATATTTGTTTATTTTTGAGTTGTGAATAGACATAAATTAAGGTTTTGTTTAAACCTGTATCATTTATTGTAATATCACAAATAATAATATAGTATTAATGGTGATACTATAATACTTGTAATTTATAGTAATACAGCAGCAAAAGCATTTTAAAGGCATTTTGAGATATACAGTCAGAAATATTAGAACCTTAGAGTTATTAAAACTATTATGTTTAGAAATGTGTTGAACAAATCGTCTCTCTGTTAAACAGAAATTGGGGATAAAAATAAACAGAAGAAAGTTTAGAAATGAAACTAAAGAGACTTTGTCTGTTGTTTAATTGTACTAGTGATTTCTGATTAAAAAAAATTAATAGTAAACTTAGCAAGCAAGTTTGGAGAATTAGATGTTCCCCAATTTAGACAAAATACCCGAGCATAGTGAGAGGCATTTCAAAGATGGCCGCCGAGTGAAATGACTTGCCTTAAAGAGATTTAGGCCTAAAGTTAAAGGTGCATTGGTTTTCATAAACAATTTTGGCTATGCTGGTTAAAATTCTTGACACATCCGGATGTGATTCAAATGAATTTATATGCGTTTTATTTATTATCAGAAAAGTGTCTGACAAAGAAAAGTTTGTCCAATCAAAACGTTAGGTCCGAACATTACGATAGGCTGTCCAGCCTGCCTGTCAACATAGTAAATTGCACACCTCTGCGCAGAAAAGATTGTGTCATCGGTGTGTTCATGTACTGTATGTGCTTTAGACAGAGAATGGCAGCAATACCTTCAAACAACCTACCTTCTATTTAATTCTGGTATTGAAATTACTAGCAGTGCTATAAAGTTTTCTCTTTGGTGAATGTTACAAGATGTATTATAGTGATGTTGTCTAGGGTGCTTTTGCATGTAAGTTTGCAGGCTTTCAGTGCTATCAGGCTAACGCTAGCATTTTTTAAGATCTCCTTTTGTACTTTTAAATGGTTAATGATGAAAGCCAGTTTAACGTATTTGGCTTCGATTAGAAACATTAAGTTTGTCATCACATTGAAGAAAGACTGAACCTCAAATGTATAAAGGTGGAGGCAAATGTCTTTTTTTTTTATTGGAGATATTTTCTTCAGCAGACTTTGGCCTTTGCATGGCAGACTAAATGCAAATGTTTATCAGACACTCCTGATTCAACTAAAATTCCTTCTAACTTGGAATGGTGATGATAAAATTATTTTTGGGGAAAATCAGGTGTCAGTAAACAGTTCTCTGTATTTTGATTCAACAAGTCCAATCTTATCTATAAAGCTCATTTAGAACAATGACAATTCCCAAGGCGAGCGAAATCACATATTGTCCTCTCTGTGTGTCAATAGGATGGAGTATTTTGTCTCTCAGGGTTTATGTTTCAGTGGTGACAGGAAAAAGTCACAATGGTCGGAGGTTAGAGGCATCAGTTTGACCGTGTGTGTGTTTCAGAAGGATAACGCACAGGTGTGACTCTTCCCTTTGTATTCTGCCTGAAGTTGGGAGTTTGCCAGATGCCTAGTAAACACACACACACACACCTCTTCTGTTACTGCTTTCCATTTTAGATCACCTCATTCTCTTCATTTGTTTGGGTTATTTTATGCTGTTGACTGTGTGAGTCAAGCTTGATGTATTTATATATTTTAAAACTAAAATATAAATTAAAGTGCCCACATCATACTATTTTGAAGGTTTACCATCAACCAAACTAGGCTTGCGTCCATCCAAGGTAAAAAATTATTCATTCATTCATTTTCCTTCGGCTTAGTCACTTATTTATCAGGGGTTGCCACAGTGGAATAAGCCGCCCAACTTATCCAGTAAATGTTTTACACAGTGTATGCTCTTCCAGCTGCAACCCAGTAATGGAAAACACCCATACACTCTCACATTCACATACATGCACTACGATCAATTAAGTTTATTCAATTCACCTATAGTGCACGTCTGTGGACTGTGGGGGAAACCAGAGCACCCGGAGGAAACTCACGCAAACACAGGGAGAACATGCAAACCCCACACAGAAATGACCCAGTCAGGACTTGAGTCCGCAATCTTCTTGCTGTGAGTCTGCTTATTTCCACCTATGAAAAATAAATTGTTTACGTCCTTTCCTCACACCTCATTCAGCTGCCATTTTTGTTCATAGTTTAGTCACATCCCGTTTAGATTACTGTAATTCCCTTCTGTTTAGCCTCCCTAAAAAAACTCTTCATAAATTACAACTGGTACAAAACACTGCAGCCCGTATTATCACTAAAACCCCTCTATCTGTCACATCACACCCATTCTACAACAGCTTCACTGGCTTCCCATCTTTTTCAGAATTAATTCTAAAAATACTTCTTCTCACTTTTAAGGCCATCCACAATCTTGCTCCTCCATACCTTGCTAATCTTGTTCACATCGTCACACATTCTTGAACACTCAGGGCTTCTTTCATTCACGTCACTGTTCCCTCTGTCCGCCTCGTCACCATGGGAAGCAGATCCTTCAGCCACTCTGCTCCTCAGCTTCGGAATTCACTTCCTCCTCATCTCCGTAATCTAGACTCTTTCACAATTTAAATCCAAAGTCAAACCACATCTGTTTAGAACAGCTTATTCTCTTTAACCCGACTATATTTTTAAAGATTGCATTGTATTCTATTGACTTTTATTGTGTTTTTATTTGAACTATTGTTCTAGCTGTCCTGTACGGTGTCATGAAAGGCGTCTTTAAATAAAATGCAGTATTATTATTATTACACTGGTGCACATTAATATCTTTACGGTACACTTTTTACCTTTAAGGTTTACTATTGTACCTTTTAATGTTGACTTGTAGCGTTTGTAAGTTACTTTCAGGTACACATTTGTACTGTTTAGGTATTAATATGTACCTTTTAGGGGGAAAAAGGACCTGTTGCCAACAAAAATGTACCTTTTGAAAAGGTATTACCCAGTGACAGATTTTGTACCTTTTATTTCTGGGAGTGTATAATGTGTATATGACCAAAGAATGGTATAGGAGTTTAAACTTAGATATTGCTTGATGCTATTAGCAGGTTTGGCATGCTGACCCTGAGCTTGGAGATAACTGAGCCCAGGGCTCCCGCCTGGTCAATGAGCATATTAGAGGGTCCAAGATTAGGTAGTTTTTAACAGCTCCCCCTGGTAAAGGAGGAGAAAAGGGAGATTGGGTGAATGGGGGGATTCTTTAAAAATGAAGATCGGAAGATGAAACTGGCTATTTATTGTAGCTTTGGATTAATCTGATTGGTTTATCGATGATTGCAGATGAGAGACCAGCTGCGATCAATTATGACATGCTCCTCTCAAAGATCTTCACTCCCTTATTCCAACCGCATCCGCCCAAATTGACAACATCTCTGCTTGTGTGAAGGATATTAATGATTGGCTCACCTCAAATTCACTAAAACTTAATTTGGACAAAACTGAGAATTTTTATTGGCACCCCAGCACTTACCAGCAATATTCCCACCAGTTATTCCTGTGAGATTGCTGGCTTGCACATTAAAACATCTACTTCTGTAAAAAATTTAGGTGTAATCTTTGACTCCACACTCTCTTTTCAGTCACACATTAAATCTGTCACTAAATCTGCATTCTTTCACTTACGTCGCATTTCACAACTGCGTCCCTTCATCAGTAGCAAGGATGCTGAGACTGTCATCCATGCATTTGTCTCCTCACACATCGACTACTGTAATGCTCTTTTTATTGGCCTGCCTGCTAGCCTCATCTCTAGATTACAGTATATTCAAAACTCTGCAGCTAGAATACTCACTCATACCAAACGTTCGGCTCACATAACCCCAATCTTGTATGATCTTCATTGGCTCCCGGTTGCATACCGGATTAAATTCAAAATTCTCCTCCTTGCATTTAGATCCTTAAATAACCTTGCACTCTCCTATCTCTGCAACATGCTTGTCCCCTACACCCCAACTCGCTCTTTACGGTCTGCTGACTCTGGCCTTCTTGCTGTCCCTCGGTATCGCCTCTCTTCAATGGGGGGCAGATCATTTAGTGTTATTGCACCCAAACTCTGGAACTCCCTACCACACTCACTCCGCTCTGCTAATAATATCTCTGAATTCAAATCCTTACTTAAGGCTCACTTATTTTCTGAATGCTTCACATCTGATCTGCCAAACTGACCACTTAATCTGATCCACCACTATCCTGCTCATATGTCTCTTAGGTCTTGTTTGTGTTATTCAAGTTTGTTATATTTGACCTCATGTATGTTTGTTTATCTTTTTGTTGCATTTCTTGTAAAGTGTCCTTGAGCTCTGGAAAGGCGCTATATAAATAAAAATTATTATTATTATTATTATTATTATTATTATTATTCACTCAAAATGGCTACTTTTATTTTAAGAAATCATGGGCTGTTTCTCAATATGCGTTGTTCAGCGGTCTTGCGTCCTCGTGTTCTCGTGAAACGTCATCATCAGCTGCCTAAGTTCAGTTCTAATACTCAAGATCGCAAGTACGGAGGACGCGTGAAACTTCCTGGATGTGTTTTTGATATCGAGGACGCACTGATGCAGACTTGAGCACCGAACTCGCTCTGGAAGTCCCAGAAGTCATTGCGACTGGAGGTGGGAAGCGCTGCATTTGATCTAGATTTATTATTAAAGTTCATAGATATGAATTATTTACCTCAGGAATTTCCCTAAATGAAACGGTGAAAGTAAACATTACCATGGACATCTTAATAAAGGAATAAACACATTAAGGGGGTTTGTTTGCTGAAATTCTTATTAAAATCTGTTTTATTTATATTGTGCAACATATATTTATAATGTTTTTATGCAAAGTATATATTTTGAAAAGGGGGAAAAACAATAAATCGTTGTATGAAGGCTGTAATGTTTAAATAATTTACCATTTAAAGCATGTGAAGGTCATGTGACCATCAGGAAGAACGCAGCATCTCAATTCTCAAAGGACGCGTTCTCTGCCCTCGCGGTCTCCTGAGTTCGTTCTTCCGAGGACACCTGGCAAGACCGGTCTTCACAAGAACACAAGTCCGTTCTCTGCGTTCTTGGAATTGAGAAACAGCCATGGTTTATTTTCCCAAGATAATATTCATTTTTGATGCTTAAAGTGCAAATTGACACACACAAAAACAGACCAGAGTTTTATCTTTTTAGACTGCAAGGATTAGCCAGGTTTACTTATTTGGTTACATATTTATTTCACCTTAACCCTGTCCTTTTTTTTTTTCACTTATTATTTTCGTCTCAATATTTCTCAGTGTCTATCTTAGTTTCTTTCAGCCTCAGTCTTCATTTACCTTCCCTATAAAGCTCAATGTTTTTCTCTCTGTCTGTGTCTCTGTCTCCTCCACTATTGTTCCTCCCTTCCTCCTGCTCATCTCCAGAGGCCTTCTTTTCTTTTTTTTTCTTCCTTTTTTTTTATGACTGTGACCGTAAAAGCAGCTGTCCCACTGCAGACGGGTTTCGCAGCTCACACCCTGACCGTGTGTTTTCAGAGCTTTGACCCTGCGACTGTAAATCAGGCCTTCTCTTCACCGTTTGACCCGCTCTCAAGAGTTTAAGGAGTTTAAAGGCAAGGAGTAGCACTTCACTGGAGGACTTTTTGCTTTAAATAGTCATTATTGCTAAAGAGAAACCGCCAAGGCAGTCGAGAGAGTGACAAAAGAACAACAGGAGTCCATATGAAAAATTAGCTTTGGAGACAAAGAGCTCAGTAGGATGTGGAAAAGAGACATCTGTTTAGGCAGAGACTGAGTTATTATAGTTCAACTGAACTTCTTTTAAAGTAGCTGGAAAATGTATCATTTTAATTCAGTATAAAATACAAATAAAATAAGTAAACAGAAAATAAAATATAAAAGTAATAGGTAATTATTAAATTTACGTGAAAATTAAAAAGTCAAAATTGTAAAGGTTTCAAAATTAAAGGTTTAATTTATTTTACTAAAAATAACTAATCAAAACTGCACTGTAAAAACAAATGGAGGGCTCCACACAATTAATTCATGCTGTCCCAACACAAATAGATTAAGTTTACTTAATTGTTTTTACAAATATAAATGGATTGAACATAAAACATTTAAGTTGTCCCCAAAAAAAAATCTCAAGAATTGTGTTGCTTCAGCTTATTTTTAATAGGAACTTTAAATAAGCAGCAAAATAAAAAAAAACTGAGTGTAGATCAGGGTGTCACGGTGGCACAGTGGGTAGCACGATCCCCTCACTGCAAGATTCGGCTGGGTCAGTTGGCATTTCTGTGTGGAGCATGTTCCCCTGTGTTCGCGTGGATTTCCTACAGGTGCTCCGGACTCCCCCCACAAGTCCAAACACATGCGCTTTAGGTGAATTAATTCATTCATTTTTTCGGCTTAGTCCCTTTTTTAAGTTGGGGTCGCCACAGTGAATGAACCACCAACTTATCCAGCATATGTTTCATGCAGCGGATGCCCATCCGACTGCAACCCATCACTGGGAAACATTCATATAAACTCATTCACACTAATACACCACTACAGACAATTTAGCCTACCCAATTCACCTGTAACGCATGTCTTTAGACTTGTGGGTGAAACCGGAACACCCGGAGGAAACCCACGCCAACATGGGGAGAACATGCAAACTCCACACAGAAATGCCAACTTTCCCAGCCGGGGCTCGAACCAGCGATCTCCTTGCTGTGAGGCGATTGTGCTACCCACTGCGCCACTGTGATGCCCTAGTGTAGGAGAATTGAATAAGCTAATTTGGCCGTAGTGTATGTGCGTAAATGCAAGGGTGAATGGGTGTTTCCAAGTGTCCTTGATTTATCAGGGGTCACCACAGCGGAATGAACTGTCAACTATTCCAGCTTATGTTTTACGCAGCAGATGCCCCTCCAGCTGCAACCAAGTACTGGGAAATATAATGCATTAATACATTTAATATAATTTAAGCAATTTATAATTTTCATTTTAAGTTCTGCTATAAAACACTACTGTATGTCATTTTTGTACAACTAAAACAATTTAAATCCATTCTTACGTTAAATAAACAATGCACAAAAATAACTATTTAAAACATGTTGTGTTCATGTTCTCAAGCATCTTTAACATTTTCTTAACCAGAATTAACATGTTTTGCCACATTCCTATCATGTCTCAAGCATGGCTACTAAACTGTTGGCAAGAATTAGCATGATTATAGCATGAATCAGCATCTGTCAAGCTGAATATTTTATTATCATAGGTAAGATATAGGTCAGATTCTCTGTACAATTTAACCCTGAATGAAAGTCTGTAAGGTTTTGTATCAATTTAAATATATATTTTTCATGAATAGTGCGCTGAATAAAATAGTAAAACACTTAACAGTTACTAAAAATTGAATAAAAAAGAAACATAATGTATTACAACTGTATGCATAATTCCAATAGTGTTTCAATGATAATGAAATAACACTCCCATTGTAAGAATTTCAAGACTTAAAACTGTAAGGCATTTTTCATTCTACAAACTTCTAAATCAACAGATAAATCAAAGTAGGGTCCCACTTTACATTAAGTGTCCTTAACTACTATGTACTTGCATACAAAAATACAATGTACTTTGTGTTTATAATGTATTTGAGAACACTTGTGGTGCTTTTGAGTTGGGATAGAGGTTTGGTTATGGACAGGTTTGGTGGTATGGGTAGGTTTAAGGGTGGGTTAAGGTGTAAGAGATGGTCAACAGTGTATTTACAAATGCATTTACAAAAGTTAATTACAGATGTAATTACATACATGTATTTAATCAAGCAGTACACAATAAATACATGTACTTACACTATGTACATTGCAACAAACTATTAACTCCTGAGTAAGTACATATTAGTTAAGGCCACTTAATATAAAGTGGGACCCAAAATAGTATTCTGTGCTAATGGAAGACGTGCAATTCCACACATTTTTGCAAAATGAACTGCACTTAAATGCAGTGTACATCAACTCAAGTCAAAAAAAAAAACATTAGGGTGACTCTTTCTCCCTCCTTCCTGCATATTATTCATCTCACATCTGGAAAAATGTTGGCTCTCTCTTATCAGCTTTTAATGTCTCCTGAAGATTGAGAATGCTTCTATGGTATTTCTCTATTTGCAAGATGATGCATGAAGTCGGTCCTGCACATCTGTTTCTGTTTCCTCATGATAAATATTAGAAGCTTTTGTCCTTGAGCTACTTGAGAGCAGCATCTACACACACACACATACCCACAAACAGACTTTGATCAAAAAAATATGATTAGTTCATCTTACCTTGTGCAAGGTGCAGCAAATACTGTGGCTTTTATTCCATTTCTGTTATTCATCTCATAAGACAAAGACCATATTAGATGATAACGCACTTCATTTAGTCGTATATAAATGGATGAAACGGCAACAGGATGCTTGGACTGAAGCCATAACATGTAACAGGAAGTATATGTTGAAATCCAGACAGGCCGCTCATGTAGGTGTTATGTATGATATCACATTTGCTCCTATTCAGTCACTGATGGCAGAAGCAGGTTGGAGAACAGCGGCTTCTTGTCTGGACGCAGCATGGCATCATGGGGAGAGAAATATGACACAGTCTTCCTCAGACAGCATATGTTTCATAATGTTATCCAACATGAGGGATGACATAAATGTACGGGCTGATAGAATGAGCTCATGCATTTGTCATAACACATATGCATTTTCTAGCATGATATATAGTGTGCGATGATGTTAAATGTGAGATGTATATATGTATAGTTATGATATGCAAAGCTTTTCAAAAGTTGCTCACTAGGATGGCAAAAATTAGTGGAATATCATTAAAATTACATTAAAAGTGGTTAAAAATAGGGTGATGCAGTGAGTAGTGCTGCTGCCTCACAGCAAGAAGGTCGCTGGTTCGAGCCTTGGCTGGGTCAGTTGGAGTATCTTTGTGGAGTTTGCATGTTCTCCCTGTGATTGCATGGGTTTCCTCCAGGTGCTTCGGTTTCCTCCACCGTCCAAAGACATGGAGTAAGGTTGAATTGGGTAGGCTAAATTGTCCGTAGTGTATGAGTGTGTGTGTGTGGATGTTTCCCAGAGATGGGTTGTGGCTGGAAGGGTATCCGCTGCGTAAAACATGTGCTGGATAAGTTGGCGGTTCATTTCACTGTGGCGACCCTGAATTAATAAAGGGACTAAGCTGACAAGAAAATGAATGAAAGAACAGGTAAAAATCGTTGTTTGATAGTGGGATGTTGGATGGTGAACAAAAGTAACAGGGTTGGGGAGTCACGGAAGAAAATGAAAGTGAACAGTGCACGAGGGAGGAAGGCAGTTGAGGAGGGGGATTGGTAAATTGAGGTGCCGGATCCAGATCCGGTGTGTTCCGGCACAAATTAGGCCCTGCACACAGCAAATTCATCTGAGTTAAATTCTCGGTGTTGAAGCATTTCAGAGTAAAGTGTTGACGTTAAAGAGTTAGATTTTGATAAATGAATATAATAAGAGTTAGAATTGATTTTATTCAGTGCGAAATCAAGGAGTTATCTTTTCTACACTTGGTGGTGTTATTTCCAACATCCGGGAATTCATGCAGCCCCAGTCACTGAAGAATTTTCCAGACGCCATTTTTAGACGCCAGGTTTAGAACAGCAACTGGTCAAACTACCTAAATGTTGGTATTTTACTGACTTTCTTTAAGGAAATACAGTTGTAAACATATTGTTAAGTTAATAACTTTAGAATGGAGTGACAATTTTAATCTTCTGCGGTTCATTCATGGTCGTTTGTGTATCTAGCTTAACTGCATTACTATTGACTTCTTTTCAAGAATGTTTTTATATATGCTCACGCATACATAGTGCATAAAAACATCAAATGTACATGTTCAACACATTTCTGTCACGCTTAATGCCATTTTGTGCGTTGTTACCCATCTGTAAAATAAAATCGACACTTCTCCTTTAATTCGAAGCAAACTAGCGAGGGAAACCCCGGAGCAGCCTAGCCTACTCTGCCCGGATGCTAACGGCAACACAGGACGGTTTCCATGAGCTCTGGAGAGTTTCTAAAACATATCTGGTGAGTAAATGAACATATGCTTACTTGTAAAAGGCTTCCTGACTAAAACATATGATTGTTTGTTATTCGTGTATGTTAATTTGGTTATTTTAAACACCGCGGCCCTTTTAAACTGGTTCATTCGTGGCCGTCCATATACCGTTAGTTCATAGACTCGCGTGATAACGTAACAGTTACGCTTGAATTATATTAAGTGTTGACAACCATTAAAGTCGGAATGTTAACATTGATGTCTTTAAATGACCGCGTTTGCACTTTCTCAGACATTTAAGGTTACAGAAGTCTCCCGGAAGTTGCGGGACTAACGTTAACGTTATCCCGCAAATGCACAGACTCCCAGATGCCCAAGTAGATGCACGCAAATGAATGATAATCTCCCGGAAATCGCGCGTCTCCCGCCCGGTCATTAAACACTTTGCACACCCCTCTCCCCCGCATCCCTCCCAGCTCTTCAGGTACGTCGCGCGCAAGTCACCCCCACCGCTCTTTAGGTACGTCGCGCGCAACTCATCCCAATTGCTCTTCAGGTTCTCATCTCTCCCGCTACCTCCCGCAAATCAACTCTGTATCCCCCGAAAATTACTTTTCCCAACTCAGGGATGTCTGACGTTAGTAAGTTAGGCTATTTATGTAGTCAGGAACATCTTAGTCAAGCTTTTTCTCCCGCATGATATTGTGCTTAAAACTATAGGCTAAACTTAGCATGTACTGTACACAACATTTCCTTTTTATTAAAGACAATTTAGTGCGTTGTAAACAGCCACCTGTCTGTAAAATTAATCAATTGATTCATATTTGAGCAGCCTAATGATGATACAGGTTTGATTTGTAGATTTATTATCAATAATCAACATCTGAATCAAAAGATATCTGAAAAAGTGTGAGGCATACTTTGTGATGTTCATCTCTCCTTTTTATCTGAAGGTTATGCATATGTGTTAGATACTAATTTTTTGTTGTTGTTTTTAACAGCCACAGTTCTCTATACAATAACACAAGACCCTGTGACGGTGGCTGATTAGAGACGGATGGTGTATTTCCAGAGTTGGTGAAATGACCAAGCACACCTTCTTGGTCATATGTGGTAATAATAATAATTAAGGTATGTTTGATAAAGTTCTGTATTTGTTTCACATAAGCTGAGAGGGTATTAGATCATTAGAGAATAACAAATGACATGAAGGTGATAAGTTTTGTATTGTGGGTGAACTGTTACTTAAATAACGTTTTGCTCTTTGCTTTGCACTTTTCCTCTTCTGCTTATCCTAATATTTTAGATTATATTTGGACCTGAAACATCTGCTAGACTCCAGGAAAGGTGGCGTCAATACTGGACCTGAAAGGGCCTAACAAGTTGAATCTGGTAAAGAAACATGCACGCGCGCACACACGCACGCACACGCTTACAGAAAAGTGTTGTTTATGAAGTTTATGAATATTTTTTACACTGTGGCCAATATTTTGGGGAAGTCAACATCACTAAATGATATAAAAGATTTTAAGCTCTTCTAAATTTTGCTCCAAGTGTTGTGTTAAATTCAGGATTCTGGACAGACAGCTGCCTGTTTTTCCAGTTCTAGTCATAGTGGTTAACCTAATTGTTTTTGGAGATCCAACAGTGATATATGTGTTTTTTCTACTTTTCCATATCCTGTCACCTCAACCAGCTGGGAGAGTCAAGTTGTGGATCATCATGTAGATTTTCAAAAGGTGAGTTTAGATTTCTTGAATGTTTTATTTACTTTAAATGTTCTTTTAAATATATCATAGAATTTGATTGCAATTTTTTTTCAAACATTTTTCTTAGTCATGCTGGAGTCTTGAAGAGTTCTTAGATAAGCATCACCCTATATCCGTGCATCAGGAACCGTGCATCAGACGAGCGATCAGCAGCTGCTACATCGTCATGGATAAAAAGGTCATCCTGTGGCTGGGAAGCACTTCATTCACAGGACATGCTTGATGAGATTTCCTAGCTCCAGTTTGTTTTCACACAAGTTTACAGCATTTATACCTTCATTTAAACTGCTGTGTTTGATATGGAGGACCAAGGAAACACCCGAAGTGAAAGATTTGCACACCAAGTTGTTTAAAATGTAATTTTACAAGAAAACTATGAGTTCAGAAGAAAACTATGAGTTCAGAGAAAACTATGAGTGACGCTATATTGAACTTTCAAATTGCTCTGATAACACATCAAGTTTGGACCAAAGGACGGAAACAGCCTTTTTGAGCACTGGTCATACATATTTTGTTGAAACTGTCTGTACTAATAAAACATTTAAAGCATATTTGACATTGTTGCATTTTAAAAACTGAATGAATTGTTGAAGTGGTGAATGTTTTCAAATAAAATGTTTTTTCTTTTGTAATTTACAGTCTATTTTACCTTTTTACCATATTTACACTCAAGAGAGTTGAATAAAATAACAATATATTGTAGTAAAAAAATTACTACCAGGCGGTGTTAAATATAGTTACATTTTTAACTCTGCCCAGAGTTAAAATTAACCCTTACTTCGGTGTCAATGTGCCAACCCTTTTGAAAGTGTTGATTTAACTCTGTTTTGAGTGGACCCCATGAGACACTTTCAAAGTGTTGAAATTAACACCCATAGAGTTGTTTTGGGTCCCCATATTTTGCTGTGCATGTTTCTGTTATGGTTACTATGATGTTAGAATGAATTTCCATGTTTTGACTGTAAATCGCCATGTTTCTATTGGAGTGGATGTTATTAGCATAAACTAGTGTGTTTATGGCTTGAATTAGGCTAGTTGCAGGGCTATACCGGTGATGGCTAGACAGCTAGGTCTGGAATTGGGTAGGTTAGATATAAGTTTGAAAATCCTGAATGAAAAATGTTATGAAAACATAATCATAACATCTTAATTACTTGACTTGAGTTTATTAGTTGCAATTAAAATTCTCACAGGTTAAATAACTATAACACTAGCATGTGGCCAGTGTGAATTAGAATGTTATTCTGTGTTTATGTTGCGTTTATGTTTTAAGCATCTTTAACATTTTGTTAACCTTAAATATCCACAATTAACCATCATTTTTCTCACATGCCTACCATGTTTTAGCATGTCTCAATTGTTGCCATTAATTAGTTTGATTGTAGCATGAATCAGCATGTTTCTATTAAGGTGGACAAGTTACTAGCATAACGTTCTTGGCATGATGTTACCTGGATTTCAAGAGTTCACACTTAGCTGATGATTTATAAAAGCTTGTTTGGCAGGCTGTCCCGGGAGAGAGCCCCGAGCTCAAGGGCTCCTCGAGCCCGGGGCTTCCCCCCGTTGGCAGAGCAAGAGGGGAGCCCAAGCTCGGTGGATCTCAGAACTCCCCTGCTGCGGTAGCTAAGGGAACACAAGGGATTAGACAAAGCTTGATTGTTATGTAGGTTGAATGTCTTTGGATGGAGGGAGAATCTGGGGGGAAAACCCACGCGGACACGGGAGAACATACAAACTCCTCACAGAAACACCCACCGGTCCAGTGGAACCAGGGCCGGCAGTGTTCTTGCTGTGGGGCTCACAGTGCTAACCACTGGGCCGCCGTGCCGCCCAATCAGAGGTAAAGGAGGAGAATAGCGGAGGAGGGGGGTTTCTTCCAAACGAAGATAAAGTGAACTGAAAACTGTGGCTATTTATAGTAGCTTAGGGCTCATATGATTGGAAGATAGTGATTAGCAAATGTGAGACCGGCCGTGATAAATCATAAGCACGTGATCCTCTCGAAATTAGTTTATGAATAAACTTCACTTAAGTCTAGTTGTTTTTAGCAAAAGTTACCATGTTGCTAGCATGTTTCATGGTTACCATGTTGTTAGAATATATTAGCATGTTTCTAGCTTTAATCACTGTTTCCCATATTTTGTTAGAATTGGTATGATTCTAGTATGTTGCTAGCTTGAACTAGGAAGTCGTTACATATGAGGTTGTTTCTAGCATGAGTTACCATGTTTCTATTATGATTACCATGTTGTTAGAATGAATTTGCATGCTCTTAGTATGAATCACCATGTTTCTAATTAGGTGGATGTTATTAGTTGACATGTTGCTAGCTTGAATTAGGCTAGTTGCAAGGCTTTACTAGACAGCTAGGTCTGGAATTAGTAGGGTTACATATAGGATCAATTCTTTGTACAATTTAAAGCCTGAAAGTTTTCAACACCTAAACACTGATCATTGTGTAGCGCAGCATAACATCTTAATGACCTGACTTGGTTTTATTGGTTGTAATTTAAATGTTAGTTTCTCATATATAGGATTTCAGTATGCTGCATGCTTTAAGCCAACATAATAATCAAATTACCTTTTTTTTGTCTCAATAATTTCTGACTGAATGTTATCTACTTGCATATGAACAAACAATGGAAAATATATAACAATTACCTACCCTGAAAAACAAGATCAATAACACATGAAACATGATTGCTGTTATTTTAGCTTCAGTGTCAGTCAAAAAAGTAAGCACTGGCTCACAACTAAACATTATTTAACCGCAATCGTTCAATCTTTAGATGAAGTTAGGATGGCTGGAGATGCTGGGAAATCATGACTGACTGCATCTGGCATTAAATTCAGACACATCAGTGAACCCCAAGTGAACATAGTACAGTTCCAGCAAGATAAGTTTCTCAAAACAAAACAAAAAAAAAAAAAACAATTCTATAAAGTATGATGTCTTTGTGAGCATTGAGTATCAGCTACATTTCTTAGCCTTTGTTTGAATTTCCATGGGACTGAGAGTAAGCAAATATACTGATATAATGAATTCTTTTTAACTGTTGAATGGGTTATCCTATTTCAAAGAAACAGAGGAGCCAAACCCAGAGAAATACTACACCAGTCCAACAATATCAGAAAAATGAATGCATAAACCCCATAATTACTATCAAACCATTTAAAAAACAAAGACAGTCAAGCAGCTTCTCAGAATGGGGTGGTGGGTTGTTGAATTTTGATTTTAGCACAGCTTGAAGGATTGGGCATAAATTCTTGTTCAGACAATAAAAATGTGATTGAATTTCAAGCAATGCTTGCCATAAATTTCAAAAGAAATCAACCAAGAAACTTCTTCTGAGAGCACAAACCAAACTGCTGAGTTTGATACAGTTAATTTTCTTACACATCTCAGACATCTGTTCAACTGTTCAATCAGCAACTTTGCTGGCTAAAGAAAATAAAGCAAAAGGCTTTGATGAATTGCTGAAAATAAGACTCACTCAAGCCAAAACCTAATCACTAAGAGTTTGATTGGACAATGTAATAAGTCATGGAATAAACATACAACACAAACCTTTGTGGTGAACAATTTTTATACATGGAAAAAAGCAATGAGTCGTCAGTCCTGTTTTGGGTCATTAATAGTCACATTCACACATTTTATTGATTTACAAGAATAACTTTAATCTATGTAGTATAATGTAGAACTCGTACGTTTTCTGAACACACAACGTGCTCTGTGAACGAACTATATTGGAGAAACAGTTCTATATGATGTAACAGGCCCTGTTTCCATGCAGTCGTGTCCAAATGTGTCTTTTGTGACCACTTACATTTGTATTTTATAGAGACTCTTATTTGTCACACTCTACATCACATTCCCAGGGCAGCAACAAATGAGTACAGTACATGAACCCATGTCTTTTGGATTATGAGCAAGTGGGAAAGCAGAAGAATGAAATAAATGTGGATGGAAGTTTTTGGTCCCATAGTGATTCTGTGTAAGGTCAATAGGCAAGGAGTCGATGGTTGATGTTTTGAACTCAATTTGATCGCCTTAGTATTTGCACTACAAAAGCAATGGACCCTTTTCACAAGACTGTAAAAATGCTTTTAACAGTCATTAGCATCTTAAATCTTTGAAAGTTGTATTTCGATTTTTTTTAAACATATATTTATCTATATTTCTGTATGTATTATATCATTCTTGCATCAAATTACAAAAAACGAATTACCACTTATGCGAAGCATTTCGAATGCGGTATCAACGGACAGGACTGTAAATTTGATGTTGTTCTCTCTTCTTGTTGCTGTTATCAGTCTCACAATATTTCTTCTTTTTTTTAAAGTCTCTAAGACCATCGCTGAGTTTTTCTTTTAATATTTGAGCAAATATGAATGTAAAAATATTATTTGTTGTGCTCCCCATTTCAGTGTACTCTAAGTTTTCCCAACTCTGACGACTTCCGCTACTGAGAAACCCATAAATGTTAAAAGTGTCCATATGGTCAAATGTGTTTCAACTTTATCTAGAAGTAGTAAAACAGTGGGCAAGCTCAAATCATTCAGGAACCTGCTACTCTCAATTTTGGGTCGTCAACTTGTAATGACAAAAACAAATCAGGCGCTAATTCAAACAGACATTATTAAAGACAGACATGTACATAGAGATTCCATATTATCAGGTTCAGACTTCTGCTCAGGCACTGTTGGCTGAATGTCTGATGGCACACAAAACTGAAAACTTTTTAGGAGATTTGAAAGGGTTGAGTGAATTCTTCACAATCTCTGTATTCTTAATGGTCCACCAGCAGAAGTAATTATGATGCCAATCCCCCATGTGGAAGAGCTGTGAAAACTGTGACAATTATAACTTATCTTGATCAACAGAATGCTGAGCTTTCAAAAGTATGTGTAGCTTATGGTATGTAGAATCTCTGAAAATCACAAGCGTTTTACATGCTGGTTTGTAAAACCTGGGACACATCATCATAATGTTAAACCTGACTGGGTTGTCACCTTGGGCCCTGTCATGCACCTGGCGCAATAAGGCGCAAGACGTGTGTGGCGCAATGTTTTGCTAATTTCAGACCAGCGCAACCTTAATTTTCCTGTTTTGTGCCACGTTGTTTAAATAGTAAATCCATTTGTGCCACTTTGTGGACTCATAGGGGTGCTGGTCTATAATAGAGGTGTGTTAAGGTGCGTTGCTATTTTGAGGAACTAAAATAGACTTCACAATTGACCAGCTGAAAGCAGGTATAAGGTCCAGTGCAAAGCGTGTTAGTTGTGCGCCTTAAACGCTTACACATTGCTTTATACACACAGGATGTACAGCAATACGCAAATATCTTTACAAGTGTGTTTGGATATAAATCAGATTTTGGACCCCACTTCATTATGATTGTTCATTTATTTGATTGCTGGAAATTAGAGCTGAATTTAGAAATAGTTTTGAAACAAATCTATGCATTTAACAAACTACATGAATTATGTAGGCTAATGTCTGCCTTCAGTGAGGTGAGTACAACACTGTTTCCTTATCCACGAAAGTGAAGAAGTGAAGTGAAAGAAAAAGTAAAGAGGCTGAATGTAGGAGGCTCGTTCTTTATTCTTGTGCTGCAGATGGTCTCTTTAACTGTTTTTTATCACTAGTGAAGCATTAGGTTTGTCCACTTACAAAGTCCGCCATGTAAACAGCTAATGTGCCACGGCATGAAGCAACTGACTCTTGAAGGGAACGTAAGTTCAGACTCTGATTGGATTAATGCACTTATTGCTTAAAACACAACCATAACTCATTGCGAGAATAAGCACAACCCTGTTGCCGCAGCGCAAACCGAATTTACCTCCCTTAAAGCAAAAGTGTATTCGGAGATGCCCTTAATGCTTTTGCACCATGTACTTTAGACTTTGTGCCTAGATCATTAAAATAGAGCCCCTTATGTCAGCTGTGCCTGGTCTTGACCAAAAAGCACCAGAACCAGCTAATCAAGGTCTTACTAGGTTGAGACATCCAAATTGCCTACTACTAAATGTACTACATTTGAATTTGAATTTATACACGACCATTAGAAAAGTATGTTCTGTATACAGTAGTATGATTGTGAGTAGTATGAATGTAACTAGTACTACATCTGGCATTTGTTATTATCACATGACCTACAGTGCTTGCTTCACTTCACTCCCATTCATGAATTCTTTCACATGGCATTATAAGATCCATCTGATGCGCACTGCAGAATATCACCATAAGTATAGGTAATCCAGGTGCAACTCGTAAACTGTTTCTCAAATACTATTAATTCGAACAAGCTACTCAGCTTATTGTTTATAACACACTATATAGTTTGGGATTTCGGACGCAGCCAATGTGAAATGTATATAAAAGAATTCATAGTTATACTGCACTTTAAGCTTGCGTTTATTTTTGAAAACTTTATTAGTTGCGTTTAGGTCAGAGGTTTGCTAGGTGGTCTGTATAAAGGTGGGCTTTATGAAGAACATGTATGAAATGTACAACAAAATTTACTCTAAGTAACATATTTCAGATTTGCAGAAATATAGACAGCGCCCCTCGACCATGGCTTCGAACAATCCAATATGAGAGATGACTTTCATATAGCAGACAACAGAAAATAGTCATGAAATGTGTCATAGCAGCTTTGCAATGAAAACGGGCAATTATTGAAAATCGGGTATGAAGTTTCATCATTGTAAAATGAGTTCAGCATGTGTAGCTCCATTCAGTTTTAGAGGGGGACCGGTTTGCCTATATAACTAATACTGAGGTGTCTATGTACATATGATTCAACCGTCTGTTGTAAGTGTTGTGTGAATGGGACATTTCAAGACACATACCAAAGCAAATGAGGTAGTAAATCCCAAACGCCGACAGTTTGAGTGTAGCCAAAATCTTCCACATGCTCTCGGATGGTTTCTGTCCTAATAAAGGCATATTTGGATAGTGACTTCTGGGTCACAGAAAAAGAAAGCTGGAATCGTTCCATGCTCTCGGATTCTTTGACAAACACACCTTGCTAGCACATGTTGCTAAAACAGTGAGCTAA